CAGAATAACCACGGTATATTTTTTAAAAGTGACCTTAGTGCTGATCATTTTCGCTGAACAAAGTCAAAGTCGTTAAACATTAAATTAGTTTTAAAGAAATTAAGTTTTTTTTCAGAAAAACACATGTTTTTTTGGCGAAAAGCTTGCTTGTAAAGTATGCGTTAAATAAAATGCACCTAGACAAATCTTCTGGATATTTAGAATTTTTCGGCAGGGTTTCGCAAACTAGTGCCAATTGGAAAAAATAAGGGTATCCCTGCAGTGAAACCCCAAACTATTTAGTCAGGAAAAATTCTAGTTGGATAACCGTTTGATGATTAAATACCAATATTAACACCTTTTCAATGATTAATAATCAATTAAAAGTTGTTAATTAATCCGTAAATTTTGATTACATGATTATTTTGTTATTTTTGATCATTATCAATTATTTTTGACTTTTTTTAGTTACGCGACTAATATGATTATTTGATTAATTTCAATTATCAATCAACAAGCCAAACTATAGACAAAAATTAAGAATATTTAATAACTGCATGAATTATTTATTTATTCATTTTTATTCAAATTTTAAGCGTTAAGTAATTTCTGTTATAAACATTTAAAAAGAAATGAAAATGAAAACTTTTATTTTTATTTAAATTCTTAGACTGCATCGCCAAAAAAAAGTTGCGGTTTTTCCGGTGGGATTACCAAACGTAGTATATTTTAAGACTTCTACCAAGATATTTCGGAAAAATATTAAGATTTACGTGAGCTGGGCCGGTTTGAAAATATTTTCTCTAAAAATTGAGTTTTTTTATGACTAAAAATGGTTTCTTAAAGGATTTTTTGGAAAAAAATACCTCAGATGACAAAACACTTTAAGCTTAAAAAATCTACTTAAAAATATTAAAAAATAGTATCAACGGTATAATATGATATATACTTATGATGTATCAATGGAAAGGTATTTTCTCACCCGTTTTATTTCTTTGCAAAAAAAAACTCATTCACATCCCATTTTATTATTTATCAAACACCAACACAACTCAACATGGAATGACACTCATTTATCTTACCTTCCTCTTTCATACTTTAAATGAGCTTATTCGCAAAAAAATTAAAAGGGTGAGAAAATACTTTACCAATGATACCTCATAAGTCTAAATTGGTAAGCTTTTGGCTGAGTTTTTCAACCAGTTTTCTTAAACCAGTTTTTGAAAAAAGTTCAAAAACAGCATCACAAATCTCATTATTATGATTCCGAAGAAATTTTTTTTTTTTAATATTCGTATTCAAACTTTTTAAGCTTAAACTGTGTAGTCAACTGAGCTAATTTTTTCAAAAAATATTAAAAAAACTGTTTTTATTCATAAAAACATCCATTTTTAAAAGTATTTTCAAATCAGTCCAGCTCACGTAAATCTTAATATTTTTGCAAGATATTTTGGTGGAAGTCTTAAAATATAATCGATTTTATAATTCCAGTGGAAAAACAGTACCATTCTTTTTTTTTGTATGGGGAGTGATGCAGTCTACTGTTCATAAGTTGACTATGATTACTCGGCCGTGCTATCATAGTAGCACAATGCCACTAAGTGCATTTTAAAATTTTCAGGCAATAGCCTCATGCGATTATCGATTATATTTTTTGATGTTTGTGTAAAATATTTTATTTTTATCATTATTTTTATTTTAATCAAAATATGTTGAAATAAAAGTGAAAAAAAATAAAATAAATATTTTGCCAGAACCCCCACTGTTTGTTTAAGGACAGGAGATACTTCGTCTTGTCCTCGTTTACCACCAGAGCCATTTGCTTTGCTTCCTTACTTAACTTAAAAAAGGCAGTTTTTGATGCCAAAGTCATCGGCATACGCCAGTAATTTTGCACGCACTTGTAGTAAATTGTACACGAGCGGTTGAGTTATGTGGCGCTTATTATCTTCTCCAATATCAGATTAATGAAATCACACGAAAACGAGTCATCCTGTCTGTAACTTCGTTGGGCAGCAAACGGCTCGGAGAGGCTCTTCCGAATTCTGACTGAGCTTGTGGTATTGCTCAACGTAATTTTACACATCAGTTTCGCGGGGATGCCAAATTCAGATATTTCGGCGTTTAGGCAACTGCTTTTAGTGCTGTTCTCTAAGATTTGCCGTACCGGGAATACCTGATGTATGGTGGATTTCCCAGGTCTAAGGTCACAAGACCCAATCAGTTCGTTGACGATGGGCTTCAGTCCTATATATACAATTCGCTTGATAACACCTTCTGAACATGAACTAAGAACACAAAAAAAGCTGTTTTATATTTAAACGGCGTTATTTAAATTTTCCAGGGTTTTAGACCAAGGGCCATCGTTCGTGTGTGTTATTGGGATGACATTATTGGTGGTGCTAATGCTCGATCCTAAATAGACAAAGTCATTCATTAATTCCAATTTATAGCTCCCAACAATCACCCTCATTGCGAGAGCCGTGCGGAATGCAAGTTGTTTTTCGAGAGTCGAATCGTATCGAAAATTTTACGTCGTTGCCTAAAATTTACACTCGACTAGTGTATTAAAACGGAAAAACTTGGCAGCATTGTATAGTTTTCGAAGATTTTCGTCGTTTACTTATTTAAGCACGACAGCAGACAGTAGTAGAGTCGTATAATTTAGCCTAATTTACGACTTACGCAATGTGGCTGAACGACATTGGTTCCAATGTGCATTTTGTCACGAGTTACTTTGTCTTGTCCTCGTTCACCGCTACATGAACATTTTTCCCTTCTATTTCTAAGCTGGAAAATGATGCGCTGACGTCCCTGGTTCTCAGACCGACTTTGTAAATATCAAGCGCATACGCCAGCAACACCATGCTTTTGCTGTATATGGTGCCATTAAGCTTCAGATTAGCAGCTCGTATTACGCTTTTCAAAAAAGTCGCACAAGAGTGAATCGACCTGTCTAAAACCCCATTAGGGCTCAAACGGCACCAAGAGCTTCTTCCCAATTTGAGCATAGCTGAATGTAATACTCAAAGCCATTCTATGTACATAGCGGTATTAGTATGCGGGTATCCCCAATTTAGACAGGCAGCTTCTCTTCATGCTATGAAAAGCTACTCATTAGCAGTAGAGAACAGGGCGGCGAATTCATATATTAACTCGCCTTGGTAGAGAATTGTTACAGAAACGAGGTACTGGTTTGTTTATCTCCAAGATTTGTTAAACTATCAAAATCGGGTCGGTGGTGAGTTTTCCAGATCGGAAAGCACACTGATATGGTTCAATCAGTTGGTTTATGAAGGGCTTCAATCTTCCAAACAGTATCATCGGCAAGACCTTATACGCAATGCTAAGAAGGCTTAATCCACGATAATTGGCGCATATAGGGGTATCTCCCTTCCTGTGGATTGGGCAAAGTACACTGAGATTCCAAACTTTGGTCATGTATTCATTAGACCAAATTTTGCTTAACAGCTGTTGCATGCACGCTATTTACCAGTTCTTCGCCAGCAGCTTTGTACACCTGTATGTTTGCAGGAGATAGCCCCGGTCTTAATACCATTACTTTGCTGCCTTATCTTTTGATAGAATTTTAGGTTCGTCTTCCTGCCTGTAATTATTTAAAAAGTTTCATTTTGGTCATTAACCGTTTATTTCCAAACCAAATTTGACAAGGGATGACGGAAATTAGTTCCAAACGACTTCAATCAAAATATGTACATATATATACATTAGGGCGGGTCAAGTTGTGTGGGAGATATTTTTGACTGTGAGCGTATAGCACAGAAGGACTCTACGTGTGGTTCTAAGCAAATTTACGGAAGAAACCACGAGTCTAAAATCAATTTGGAGTTTATCAAATTGCTAAAATAGGTTTCTTAGCATTTTGCTGTAGTGTCGTAAAAAAGTGCTTAAATTTTGTATAAAAGCATGCTGTAATGGGTTTTCTTGTATGAGGAATCCAATCCTGCACTTATCTTTTTCTTAAATCTTGCGCCAGACGGCGCAACAGTAAAAATTTTCAAATTTTTTCGAAAGCTATTTTCGCAATTTGGCAAACTCTAAATTGATTTTAAACCTATGGTTTCTTCGGTAAATTTGCTTAGAAGTACACGTGTAAGCCTCCTATGCTATATGCGCATCGTAAAAAAAATTGACCCTTCCAAATATACACATATACCTTAAAAGTGTTATACTATAAAGAACTAAATTTATTAGACAATCTCAGGTGGTTCTCGTAGGAGCTTTGGCGAGCTTTAATTTACTCATATTAGTGTGGTACGTTAGGTTGATAAGAACTGATATCTGGTGGTTAAGTACTAGAACGAGGTAACTGTGGGCAGTATACTATGAAACAAAAAAAATTGTCTCAAGAACGTCGATATAACAGTAATACACTTTTGCTAGGAATTCGTCTGAGCTTCTCCCCCAATTTGTGGTGTGAGTCTTGATAATGCTACACAAATGGAGAGACCTACAGAAGCACGTTTCTAACTTAGATGTTTCTCGGACCAGGGAACGAACCCACTCAGCCACAGCTGCAGTGATATATCCTACTGCAAATGCCATGTTGGACAAAAAAAAAAAATTGAAATTGCCTTGCCAAATACTTTAAACTCGGGGGTTCTGTTGTGGTCTTATGCAAATACATATTCATCTTCCATACTTTGTAGTAGCAAATTGAAGAAATGTGTAATACTTTTCTCTATTTTCTTTTCACAGTACCCACATGGATCGTGGTGCATCTATGCGAACCCAAATGTCAACTAATTGTCATACTATAGTAACCAATTTTAACGCCTACAAGAACACCCTTTCTGCCAGCCAGCCCATTTCGTATAAACATTGCAGTTGCCTGCTTTTGAGAAAATATTTTCACTGCTGCTATTTGGTAAGAAAAAAAATCGCTATTTCCTTTTTCACGCGTTTCCCACAACAAAATGAAGAAGCCTTATAAAACATTAACAAAATATACATGTGTATGAGAGCTAAAGCCCCCCATGTGCGTGGGCGTTTGTATGAGTTGTGCGCGAAATTGAATTTCCACATAACGAATTTAGTGCTGTGTCCAAAGGAAAGAAAGTGTTGAGTTGCAGCAGGTAAAAAGGCCAAACGTAAGGCAAAGCGCATTTCGTTCATCGAACGGCGATATCTATTAGTTTTTCATTCATTTGAATTTTTATTTGTTTAGATGAAGTTGCATTAGAAATCACAAATCATCATTTTCGAAATTTGCCAAACAAAAATTACTAAAATTGTGATTTGTGATTTCTAATGGAAAATTTCATTGTTCAACTGAAATCGATTCAGTTTTTCTTTTCAAACATTTTCACGTTTGCTTAGTGAGTTTAAAATCGGATCACTGCAAATTCAAAAAACTCAGCGCAGTAAATTTTTAAAGTTGAAGCTGAAGCTAAAGCGAAGGACTAGCGGGATTGAATAAACGTCGGAGTACACAGAAAAGAGGCTGCAGTAAAGCATGGATGTCAACGAATATCGGCGGCGGGGTGAGTAGCTAAACGAACGTTACGTATTCTATTTATTTTATATTTGCAAGGCCATGAAAGGCTTTTGTGTATGTGCATTTGTGAAATTGTGTGACCGTCGACTTTTGGCTAGAAGCAAAACGTCCTTCTTCTTTTCCAACGCATCTTCCTTTGCTAAGTCCACTCTGTGGGTGTTCACACATAAAAATTTAAATTGGAATTGGATTTACTATTTTACTCTGTTGCAATCACATTCAAAGCAGCAACAAATTTTTGGGGACATTTCCATTATCTGCATATAAATTTCAACTTACTTAATTTAATTTGCCAATCCTTTGAAAAAAAATAAAAATAACAATAACAATAACACAGGGATTGTGAGAAAGCTAGTAGAATGAAAAAACGTGCATGCATGGTTGTGCGTATATGGCTATGAGTATATGCAGTGGCGGATCTAGGATTTTTCTAAAGGGGGTTTTGAATTTGTAATCTTTTATCACCTGTTTGATTTAAACGTTATTGTTCTGTGTGGGCAACAGGGAATCGCTCTTCGAGGACACATCGAGTGGGATGAGGTGAAGAGGTGGTTGGTGTCGTGCGCGGAGTCTCTATACGCCGGGCACTCATTGGGTACATTGGGGTCGAGTCTGGGCAGGTAGCTATTGGGTATCAATACTGTAATTGGGCCAGGGGAACGCGGGAACGCGGGTCTCTCTTGGCAGATGAAGCTCCATGTCTGACACAGGAGGTGATTGGGCTCCAATCACGGCATTCATATGCCGACAGTCGTGGTAGGTGGTGATCGACTCCCTATGAATGCGGTTGATCGCTCGTCGGGTCCAGTGGTTGGTCGATGTAAGTCTGAATGCCAAAGAGCCTGGTGCGCATTAAAATCGTCTACTACCACTCGGTTTTCACCTGTGAGTAGCGCACATATGTCAGGGCGATATCCTGCCGGGCAGCAAGTGACAGCGGATATATAGATATACAGCTATGCCCTGACATTCTAGAGTGGTGTCCCTCGGGTCTATATCTTCTTCGATTAGACGACACTGCACTGTGTTGTATAGGAAACAACAGCCTTTGGTCGCGTAAAACCCGAGTCATTCTGCTACGTACAACAGGCTGTCGTGAGAATATACATAACTCATCTTCGGAGTCGGTTTATCAAACACAAATCAGTTTTTGAAAATCTTCGACCCGAAAACCCCTCCGTAAATCCGCCACTGAGTATGTGTAAGTAGCAATGTGTCAGCTTTGTGTCTCATGCATTATAAAACCATTTAGACTTTCGCATTCCAACGCCTACGATTCGTTTCACTCGCCTATTTATAATCAGATTCTCTAATTTTCTTCTGACATTTCGTGGGTCCTCCATGTCTTTCCACTTTTATCTATCTATCCGCTATTACCATAGTCAGTTTTGCACTTTGCCTTGTTAGTTAGTTTACTTAGATGTATGTACGTTTGTATGTATATGGACATACATACTTACATATTTCTGCAAAAGTTATTCATTTACATTTTGCTTCCTACTCGTAATCTACAACCTTTATTTTGACATAGGTACATACATATGTACATATTTACGTAGCTATATAGTAAGTTAGCATGTAGAATGCACATATGTATATACCTACATACATACATACATACAAATAAAATGTTGTGAATCATTGCGATTTTTGAACGAAATGCAAATATGTAACTTTTTTAAATTTGTTGACTAATGAAATAAAATTTTTGCAGTGAAAGTTTTGGTTTTTTGCTGACTGTTTTACTGCAAATATAAGTTCGTGTTGGAGAAATATTTAAAAGGGTTGCGTTGTGACGAAATGCGAATGTCGTTTAAAGCAACTCATGCTATTTATAATAATGCGTGCTTCACTGCGCTTTAAAAGTATTTTTGTGTTCTTTGACAACCGCATTGTAATATTTCCTTTATTTTATCAATTAAATTAAATACAACTTTTCTAACAGGTGGCAACCCTCCTCAAAAATATTTTCGACAGTAAACTTTCCTAAGCCTCTTAAATTTGATACCCATATTGCAATATTTTATTTATCTTATCAATTAAATTAAATTAAAATTTTGAAATATGTGGCAACCTCCACAAAAATATTTTCAGCTGTAAGACTTCTTAGTTTTCGAGTGATGCGCGTACAAACGAACGGACAGGGAAAAATTCGAAAAAGTCTCTGATTTGGCTTCTAACTATTGCTCTAATAATTCAAAATCGGCTGTGTTGCAGAGGTCGGCAAACGATTTTCAAGTCTTACGATTTTTATTAGTGTTTTCGTTTACAATAGTTTAATAATTTTTCCGCATATTTTTGAAATCGATAGTATTTTTTACAGATTTTGTTTACCCAAGGTATCTCTTAATAAGAGTCCAATACTTCTCGATTGGCAATCAGGTGGATTAGCCTCGATACCAGCCCATAGTTCTCCTTGATTAGTGACTTCTTGCTAAATCAGGCCAAAACAATGCAGAACCTTGGTGATTGCGAATAAATTGCAATATATGCGATGCCAAGCATTTTTCTATATGAATGCTTGAGTTAATGGTCGCACAATTTCGACCATAAACAGCTTGGGAAATGTACCAATCTTTTGAGTTGAAAATTTCTTATTGATGTTTCTTTTTTTTATGCAGTGTAAACCGCTTGATCGGGTATTTGAGAGAAATTGGCTTTACAGTAACTTTTGTCATCCATTACTAAGCAATCGAATTTTGTGAAAAACTCCTCATGAAGTTTTCGGGTATCTACACTTTTTTGTAGCTGATTAATCGGGTTCTTTATAGACCTTGTGGCATTTTAATTCAAAGTTTTCTTTTATCCGTTGCACGATCTATTTGGAGGTTCCAAACATTTTTACCGTGTTTTTTTCATACATTTTTAGCTTGACCTCTTGCGCCAATTTATAGTTAGCGGGAGCTTTTTTCTTCCCGAATCTGTCTTCCGTTGAGTACATAATAATTTTTTATTGTCCAAAATAACGCGCTTCGCAGTATTAACCGTCATGTTTACCTCTTTTGCTAACTTTACCGTACCGTACAAATTTATTTTCCAAGTACGTGGAAAGAAGCAAACTCGGACCGGATGAACTAATACAAATTCTTAAATAAATTCTTATTTTGACAGCTTTTTAAATGTAGGATAAATATATTTTTCTTATTAAGGCGGATTCATCGTTGCAGTTTAGAACTTGTATTCCATGTGGTTATTGTTGCGTTTTTCTCTCTGGGAGAGGAGCTAAGAAAAGTTCTGAACGCTTTTTAGTTGTGAACTCAAATTTAACTTTAGTACAGAACTACTTCCTTGCGTCAGACAAAACCTTGCCCTTTCTTGGTTACAGAATGGCATCACACAATACCCCAGTCCCGCAAATCAGTTTCAAATTCCAATTTTCGATTCTAATTTTACAGTACTGTAGATAAGCTATAAATTGGCTATTATAGCCAATTTCATGAAGGCAGTTTAAGTGAAAATGATTTTAATTTTTTGAATTTTAAATGGAAAATTACAGGAAATAAAAAATCATTTTCCATTGCTGATGAAACCGGATGTAAGAGTTTCACAATATTCTTATCCAATACAAATTATTTCACTTACCTCACCTTATTTATTTGTATTCTCCTCTTTTCACCTAACCTAGGCAAAGAGATGGTAGACTATATCGCCGACTATTTGGAAAACATTCGTGATCGTCGCGTATTTCCTGATGTCAAGCCGGGTTATATGAAGAATCTGCTGCCGGAATTCGCGCCAGTTGAGGGTGAAAATTGGGATGCCATATTTGCTGATGTGGAGCGGGTCATTATGCCGGGCATCACACATTGGCAAAGTCCATATATGCATGCCTACTTTCCAGCGCTCAATTCGTTTCCTTCACTGCTGGGCGATATGTTGGCGGATGCCATCAATTGCTTGGGTTTTACATGGGCGAGTTCACCCGCCTGTACGGAGCTCGAAGTGATTGTCATGAATTGGCTAGGCAAAATGATTGGACTGCCTGATGATTTCTTACATTTGCACAATAAAAGTCCAGGTGGCGGTGTCATACAGACGACTGCGAGTGAATCTACACTGGTGTGTCTGTTAGCGGGGCGTACACGTGCCATACAACGCTTCCACGAACGACATCCCGGCTTTCAAGATGCGGAAATCAATGCGCGACTTGTTGCCTATTGCTCCGATCAGGCACACTCGAGCGTCGAGAAGGCAGCGCTTATAGGTGGGTGAAGTATATTTTTAGATTTTTTTTAATCAGCTTACGCGCTGACCGCGTATTTACTGTTCGTCTGTGTATGTACTTATGTATATTGTATTTTCCTTTTACAGGACTGGTGCGTATGCGTTTCATTGAGGCCGATGACAGTTTGGCAATGCGTGGTAAAGCGTTGCGCGAGGCCATCGAGGATGACATTAAGCAAGGCCTTGTGCCGTTTTGGGTAAATCTGTAACTAAAAATACAACAAATTATTTATGTATATCCTATTAGTTTTAGATAACAAAAAGAGCTTATCAATTAAATAGGTCGTGTTACTTTTCAACTTGTACTAAAAGTTGGCACTGCCCCATATCCTCTATTCTATGGTCAATTAAAAGTGACGCTTCTGTTCTTAGCTGTTTGCTACCCCTTGTGTTTGGTCCCGCTGGGGCCAATTACTATAAGCGTCTACGCGGAGAAGATAGATTTCACCGTTAAGTAACGGCATGCGGCACATGTCAACAGCCATACAAATAGCTTTATATTTTGTTACAATCAAAGCAAAGAGGATTAAATCCTGCAAATGTTACCGCAAAAGTAATCACATTGCTGTGTGCACAAGGCAAACCTAGAAATGAGCGTTGGTGAAAGGGATGTGAAAGAGTAATAAACAATAAGAAAATTAGCAAATGGAACACTTATAGAAAAAATGCGCATATTACTGATGAAAGTGAAAATGTAGGAATACGAAAAAATATAAAATTTTAGCGGACAGCAAACTTTAAAGATTTTGCAGGAATCGTTGGAATTCAAAACTGACAGCCAATCTCACGAAAGCAATTTAAGTGAAAATTTATTTTAATTTTTTGTATTTTATAGCATTTTCAGTTTAAATGAAACCATTTTCAAATTAAGCGAAACCTTTTTCAAATTAAATGAAACCTTTTTCATGTTAAGCGAAACCTTTTTCGAATTAAATGAGACCTTTTTCAGATTCAGTGAAACTTTATTCAAATTAAATGAGACCTTTTTCAGATTCAATGAAACTTTATTCAAATTAAATGAAACTTTTTTCAAATTAAATGAAACTTTATTCAAATGAAATGAAACTTCTTTTTTGGATTACTTTGAATTAGCTGTTACGTGTTGCTCTCCCTTACGGTCAAGGCATGTTGAATACAGTGTTGCCGTTTCGGTCCAATTGGACCAAAATTGGTAGTTTCACTTTTTAAAATAAGGCTTTGGCAGGTTGGTTGGTTTGTTGTGGTTTTCGAGGGGTTTTGGTAACCAGGCAAATGATATAATTTATTCATTTTATAAAACTTCAAATATCTCTGTTTTCGGGAGTACATGTAAAGGATGATGTGAAAAGGAAAAGAGAAATGGGACATGTCAAAATTATTCTTTAACCGAAGTTGAATGTTGCCATGATTAGACTGTGCTCTATTCCATAGAGTTTGTTTAAGTTAGAAGAAAATAATTAGACAATTGTTCTGCAAATGCCAAATTTTACATTTCGCTTAAGCGAGTGAGTGAGAAGGGAGAGTATTTGTACTTTATTTTCCTCTTCTCCCTTAAGAAAATAATAGTTGACAGCTTTGAATTCGTGTAGCAACAATAAAAATATTCCCCCAGTTAAACATCATAATCGGCGTTATCGACTCACTGATATAAGTATGGCATCGATAACGATGTGTAACTGGCAGTTAAGGCTCTGTTACGTACGTATTTTTACGTAGAATTCGAAAACCAACAGACTTGTACGTATGTAATGCTGTGCGTTGGGTAACAGCTTACACGCGAAGCTCATTTAACAGATTCCTTATGTGACAACTCTCAAGCAATGCCAAGTATGCATAACAGAGCCTTAAGTGTTAGCCAGACATGGTGCAAACGGCTCTTAATAGGTTAAGTTGATTTCCTGTTCCTTAATTACAAAAAGGTTTAATACTTAATTTGAATAAAGTTTCATTTAATTTGAAAAAAGTTTCATTTGGTTTGAATCACAGTATACAGTAATCCAGATAGGCAAAAAAAAAAATTTAAATATGCTTATTTGACAATTTATTTGAATGTATTGGTTGATATTATTTCACAGTTGTCGTTTTCTTTAACCCAAATGAAATCCAATTTCAATATTTTCTTATAGTGGAAAATATTTCCAAGTAACATAAAATAGAACAACGAGAAAAACCAAATTCCTAGCAAATCAGGCTTGCAGCGTAAGCAATTATAATCGGATGCAGTTCCTCATAAGTCATATCTGGTTACAAACACAACTTTGAGTGAATAATGGTGGGCTGATTTTGTAAAATTGACCCATAAATTAGGGAGTAAAACAAGTATTACTTAGCTTAAAGGTAGAACTCTCTAATATACCACTATTATAGTGGACATCTGCAAGGTTTTTATGAAATATGTACCCAAAGTTATAAATCGACGCTCGAACTA